AATTCTGGGAGGTACTCTGAACAGTAGTGATGTACACATGTAATGTATATATATATATATATGATTGGTACATGGAGATGCATGGTTTATCTTTCATTGTTCATTGTTTTTTTCAGCTGTTTTTTCAGCTTGTCCTTTTGGTGCTTTGATATGTTCCTGATGTTTTGCTTTTGCTGCTTTTCTGCTTTTGCTGTGTTCTTCTTTTGCTGCTTTTCTGCTTTTGCTGCGTTCTTTTTTTATTTGCTTTTGCTTTTACTGTGTTTTGCTGTTGCTGCTTGCTTTTGCTGTTTTTTGCTTCTGGTGTTTACCTTTGTTTTTGTTGACTCGGCTCCTTTTTTTGTTGCTTCTGCTGATTTTTGTGGCTGTTTGGTCTACTGTGCTGCGCTTGTTGCTGTTGGGTCTGCACTACTGCCCAACTTGCACACACTCGTGGTTCATGTATTATTTTGCAAAACAGAAACTCATTACGCTTTGCGCATATGTATGTCATGGTTGTTTTGCGGTGTTGGTGGGAAAAAAACATTGAAGTCCAGCACTGCTCACATGTGGTGCTTACAAGACGCATTAAAGCCAACATTTTGTGAGAGCGAGGTGCCATTCCAATGCAGCCACATGCCTGTGTGCGCAAGTGAGTCGCAGTGTGGGCAACTGAAAAAAGACAAGCAACCGGACACAGAAAACATCCAAGCACACGCCCTTCCCCCAACCTCCTTCCAGTGGGACAAAAAAAAACGGTTTGTAAAGGTCAACCACGCTGCTCCACTTCACCGGCGACCAATGCGAAATCTGCACTACTTCTTCCACTGTACTTTGCTTGCTACGCAGCTGTTTCTCTTAAGTGTCAGCCCTGCTGCCGAAACTATTCCTCTTTCAAGCCCAGCCACTCACTCCGCCTTGTGTCCGCAGTACCTTTTCTCTCATTGTGAGCCCCAAGGATTTGAACAAATATCCCGAAAAAGAACGAAAAATAAGCGGTATAAAAGTTCACCCTTTGTGCAATCTTTAAATCCTTCCATTCTTCAATGCGAAGAATCAAAACAAGACGTTCCCGACACGACACCTGAGGTCGTGAATGCTGCTACAGAAGGCACTTCAGCCATTGCTGCACTGCCTGTCAAAACCAAGGCCATCACAACCGGCTCCCTCATACACCTGCCTGTGATGGCCGCCGGCCTAGGGAGCCGCTGATGCGGCAGCTGGCTGATGGCTGTCCCACTTGTGAGCTTTGACAGGGTTGCACAAGAACCATCAGAAGACCGGGTTTGAATGTAAATTACAATGACTTCAAGGTAGACGGCCTTAAACCCAAGCCGATCTCGAACACTCATAATTTGTGCCATCTACCCTGAACCTAGTAGGACTATGCCGCAACAGTTGGGAACTGGGCTTTGGAAAGTCGCCGAAGTGTCTGTGCAGGATGTCATTTCGGTACGGTTCCTGCGCACCATGTACAGTATGCGCAAGAGAAGAAAATGGAGTACAGAATGTGTTTCTTTCCTGCGAATGGGAGGAGATTTGGATCTGTCCATGTTCACAGAGTGACTATGCATGACTATGCATGAACAGGTGGACGTGATTTGCTTCACCCCATGGCGGATGTAACAACCATTGTGGAGGACGTTAGAAAGTATGCCTCGTCAGTTCGGTGTCATTTTTTCATGGCGACCTTCATGCTCACCACTGATGTTGGGTCTGTTTTTGTATTCCCCCGGACCAAATGTGCAGTGCTCAGAGACTGGACCATTTGTGCTCTTTGAAGCTGCGACGTCAGGAGAAGACTGAAGAGGGCACCGGCTCTGAGCAGAGTATGAGAGCGGTATGCCGTTTGGCGGACGTTTTGCCTATGGATTTGGTTTTTTGGATCTAGACTCAGACCATTTGCACATATTTGCACCTATATATACCACTCACCAAGTACAATATCCTGAACATCTTTGCGCGATTGCCTTAAACTGATGTTGAGTTGAAGGCTTACAACCAGACAATGTGGTGGAAAAGAACCTGCCAGATGTGTTTCAAAAAGCACATGAAAGCTTCAGAGATCGCATGAGAGATCTACGATCTGCTCATCTGCGGAGCAGCCATGGCTGTTTCAAACCACTACACGAGTCAGTTTGGGTATTGGCTCTAGAAGATGTCACGCATCGGTGCATGAGGTAGAGCACTGGCTTTTTGCAGGGTAGAGGCAATCGCATTTTCGCAAGTATAGACGCAAAGTGTTGCTGAAAAATAACTTCAACGATTCAAGGGACTGTTTTTACGCCGCTGGGCGAGGATTGGACATGGACATTGCGGCATCGGATCAAGCGTTCCTGCTGGGGCACAGGAGGACCATGCACGATGTTCACTATGTTCGACTATGTTTGTCAAGCATCAATCCTATGACGGCTATGCATTCCTCCAAATCCGTATGAAATGACCAACCACGAGCAAAATATCGCCCTCACAGGTAGAATAACAGGACCTTGGGAAGGCTACTGGTTCGTCAAGAATACTGCAAGTTCTTTTCGAACCTGTATAGCATATCATATCCCTTGCAGTTCTTCAAGATGAAGCATAGTGCTGTCACCGTTTCAGAAATTCTGTCGTTTCAGGGGCGCCCATGCCGTCCCTTGGGATTTTGGTGACCTTGCTCACCTTCTTCACGCTACGTTGCTGGTATGTTTGCTTTACCCAGCAAACACCAGCCAGGGTGCAGCGAAAAGCGCTCCGGGCGAAAAGCTTCTATGGGGATTCTATTCCAATGCCACCGCCTGGGCATCCAGATCATCCACAGGGAGTGGAGGTGGGCTTGGAAACCTAGACAGGACCTGTTTTTAGGGGGAAGAAAGGATACTACTGGGTGCACCAGATCCGACTTCCGATGATGTCACTCTTCCGTTGATGTCAACCTCTCCACCTTTGCTCGAACTCAGTGTCCAGGTGCAACCCTTTGCCAACCAGAACGGAGGTGTGGACGACACATTAGGCCTGGGAGTGGGATTGGAAGTGATGAAACGAACGAGCGGCACAGCCAAGCGCTCATAAAATGGTGTGACATGGGTGGTTTCTTTCCTAAAGGATCTGGGGGACCAATGCACGATCTTTTTGAACCATTTCGCGTTCCTCCCTTGGCCATTTCAGATGTCTCCAGGTCCTCCAAAGGTCTACATGTACGGCCCCGCGGCGAGTCCTTTGGGCCGCAGTTATGCCGTGGATTGCAGCCACTGGTCTGAACTTGGCTCATCGCAACAAGCCGACTTGGTGGATGAAGTCTTGGAGGTTTTGAGGAGAAATGGCTTCGTCGTCTTGGAAGGGATGGTCCCTGCCGATGAGCAGCTCGCCATGGAGGAGGCCGCGAAGCAGCATTTCGAGAAGTTGCCAGAAGGACAGATCGTTCCAAGTGCTCCAGGCGTCAGGAAATCCTAAAAGATGTGGTTTCGGATGCAATCCATTGGGCCGAGAAGAGTTCACTAAGAACATGTCCGGCCACTTGACCTTACCACCCGCGATGGTCTCCCGAGTTCACTTGTTTCTCGGCTTTCTCGGTCCGCTTCGCGTCCCGCAGGATATTTCACTTCGCCCCTGAGAGCGGAGCGAAGTCAGGTTCACGTGCCCTACGAAGATCCCTGGTCGAAGGATTGGTTGGTCTCCAACGACTTGGTCTTGCAGGTCACTGCCAGGTGCGCTACAACCTAACCCAGCGCGCTTCCGTGGAAGCGCGCGGTGAAACCGGGCGTGCTTTTCGATGAATGGATGATCCAATGATGTGGATGGGGTCCCCTTTTTTCAAGGTCGTTGGAGCTTACGACTTTTTGGTTGATGTGGGGGTGTATCCAACCTAAATCTACAGCTTTAACCATTCGCCGGAAATCTGAACGTGGTCCACGACCAAGGTCTATAACCAACCACAACCTCAAACACCCTCGTCGACCAGCGGTGGTTTTTGCGCAAGGCAGATGAACGGAATGGTAAAGTGTTGGCCAAGCATCACCAAACAGGTTTGTTTGTGTCCCAGATTCATACCATTTGCAGGTATGTCATCAATAACATGGCTTGTGGGCGCTCAGAGGAGGAACAACAATCTGCTTGGTGCCAATGGGTGATGGAAGGCAGGACCTCAAAAAGTCAAACTGTTGAGCATGTTTGCTCCGGTGGGTGGGGCTCCAACCTACTAGCGATGGCTTCCAACCTGCTAGCGATGGCCTCCAACCTAAGAACAATGGCCTCCAACCTACTTGCGGTGGCCTCCAACCTAAGAACGATGGCCTCCAACCTACTAGCGATGGCCTCCGACCTACGACCCGCGATGGCCTCCAACCTCCTCCAGCCTTACCTGCGTTCTCAGGCTCCAGCGTGGAATGGTTTCATTCGATTCCACCACAAGCAGGTCCTTTGGCCACGGACCCACCCCACGGATGCACCACGGTCGGAGCACCCGAGCAGCTGGGGCCCTGGCTGGGGCGAGTGATGATCACGAAGACACCACCGCAGTCGCCCTTGATGACACGAAGCAGCACAAGAGATGCGTTGACAACCAGTCGCCCAGTGTTCATGGGATGGTGTGAGATGGTGTGTGATCTGTGAGTTGGATGTCATTTGAGAGTTTCGCATCCATGTGTTACACCTCAAGTGTTGAGCTAAGCGAAACACGACACAACGGCACAAGAGAGATGATTGAGACAGGCATCCACGAGACAGGGGACGCTCTGTCGAATGAGACACCGAGACAGGGGATGCTCTCTAAGGACCAGACACCGAGACATTATTCTCCCTGGACCCTTTGCACAGCTCACCATCGGCGTGCCCCTCACCCCCCTTGGATGCCAACAACGGCCCGTTGGCCCTACGGCCTGGGTCT